TCTCCACTGACAATCACCATACTGGCTACACCAGTCACTCATTTACACCTACTGAACCCTAAGGAGCTCCAGTAGCTGGGTGAATTGGACCAACCTGGACCTTACATGCTGATCTGCTACACTGTTTGCTTATTTTACAGGAGGCTGAACAACCACCAGCAGGGAGGGGCAATTCATAACAATTGGTAAATGTAAACATTTCTAAAATTGATTTGAAATCTTAAAAGTTGGATACAATAATTTTTTTCTACCATAGGTTTACATGGCAGTGATAAACCAGACTTTCTTTACTGGTTTTGTTTTGTTAGGATTTTCAGAGGAGCAGGTTTTCTTTTCCTTGATGATCCTTATGACTTATACTATGATAATTGTTGGAAACCTGACCATCTTTAGCGTCATCAAGATTGACATTCATCTTCACACGCCAATGTACTTTTTTCTCAGTTATTTATCGATATTGGACGTCTGTTACTCTACCGCTACCCTCCCGGCTATGTTGGCCAATGCCATAACAGGCAACACAAGAGTGTCCTTTAACCTTTGCTTTACTCAGCTCTACTTTTTTGTCTCTCTGGGTGGGTCAGAATGTCTTCTCTTGGCTGCAATGGCCTACGACAGATACGTGGCAATATGCAATCCTCTCCTCTACCCTGTAGTCATGAACAAGGCGTTCTGTTCCTACTTAGTTGGAGGATCTTGGTTCTGTGGATTCTTGAACTCCGTTCTTCACACCACATTGACATCTAAGTTGACTTTTTGTAGTCTTCGGCATGTTAACCACTTTTTCTGTGACGTTCCGCCCATGTTGAAGGCTTCTTGTGCTGATATCCAGTGCTGCAAGGCAGAAGCACTAACCACTACGCCACTGTGCTGCTCATGAAATACTTTGGCAGTCCATTGTGTTCCTGTCATATTTGTCATATAAATAATATAATAAAGCATTTTGAACCCTTGGGACTATTATTTGGTGCTCTGTTTGTCTCTCGTATACAGTACATAGGTTGTCTAGGGTTCTACCGGGTAGATTCACCCTCTCTATGTGTTCAGGTGACCATTGTAACCAACTCAGAAATTGATGGGAAATCCAAAATGTTGCAATAGTCCCCAGATCAAGATTTAAGGGTAAATCCTCCAATGGGAACACCTGTTCTGGAGTCAACTGCTGAGAGGGATTCCCCTTACTTTTTTAGAGATTTGCTCTACTTCCTGTTACATCTCTGAGATGGTAAAACTCCCCAATAGGACTGATGGCAAAAAATAGAATTTTAGTTCTTCCCAACTCTATCCAAAACTAAATATATATATATATATATATATATATATATATATATATATATATACATACACTAAACATACACTTTAAATATGAAGGTCTAACGGAAATTCTTTGGTGCTCTTTTCTTTCATTTCTACATTGCACAAAAATGTTGAGGTTTAAATATAAATATCTGCATTGATTTGGCGTATATTTAATGGTTATAATCCTTGTCTTAAAGGAGAACTATGAGGTGAGTGCTTTTCACTCAGCCTCATAATCTGAGCCGACCTGTGACAATGAAACTGTCACGTCGGCTCAATAGATCGGGAAGTGAGCGAACACATACCGGCACTCGCTCACTTCTCGATCATCTTCCTACAGAGAGCAGAGACTGTCACTCACGGCTCCCTGCAGGGATTCCCCCCCTCCCCGCTCTGCCAGCGCACACTGGAGGAACGGAAGGGGGAGGAGGCAGGTACAGCTGGCTCTGCCTCTAGATAGGCAGAGCCAGCTGTCACTCACGCAGCTGGGTGGATCTCGACAGTAATGTCGGGACCATCCCGGCTGCAGTGGTCTCAGTATACCGCGAGCTGTAGCTAGCGATATACTGAGCTTTGGGTCACCGGAGGATGCTAGTTTATGTCCTCCTGTGACCCTTAGGAGAACTATGGGGAAAAACACTTACCCCATAGTTTTCCTTTATAATTCAATAATAAATCATAAATGAGATGTGATTTTCATGTTCTTTACGAACACAAATATATATAAAGATTGTATGCAATGATATCGAATTAATAGAATTAGTGACGGCGTTCTGTTGAGTCGAATATGCACATTCACAATTAACATCGTAAGCAATTACATTATTGCTCACAATGTTAATTGTGAATGCGCATAAAATACCATCCATCATGTACTGGCTCGGATGGCATGTTATGAACGGTCACAATTAACAATTAGAAATAAATACTTTGTGAATAAATGGCTGTTTTCTCATTCATCCCGGTGTGTGTGCAAGCGTAGATGGTCTGGTCGGCAAATTCGACCGGGTCGGCATTCTCGACAGAACACCGGTTCTACAATATTTTCCATTGCCCTTGAATGTTAAACAATTGTTCTGTACACAAAACCTTCAATAAACCTCGTTGGAAAAGAAAAATAGCTTACAGCAGCAGTTCTCAACTTTGGTAGGACCGGGAGCCCGGTACATTCTTCCAAAACCTGCCATGCTCCAACAGTATGAAAAAAAATGTATATCCAGACAGTAAACGTCATTTAAGATGTATTAAAAAGGGAGCCATCAAAACTGAGGAAGGTAGACAGGTGTGAGCACAAAAACTGGAAAGGGATTCAAGTCTCACAAAAAGTCACTTTATTTGCAACAAAAACGTGGAAATCACTATGGTGACGATTGTTACAAATCACGTTAAATTGTAATCTAAACACAGGATTCGATTATTTTTTTAGGAGGTTTTATTAGAATTAGATTGTATGAAGCGCAGTGCGATGTATTTATATTTGTGGTATTATAGAGGGTGTATCACTAGTAAGCACAGCAGCTGTCAGGGATTGAGTATTGTAGTAGCGCGGTTCGATTCTGTTTGATCACTTGTAGATAATTGCCGGCTTTATATTCCATGCATGCCTTATTTTTCTTTACCTCCACATCCTTCTCACAGTGGCCATTTTCACTAAGGGGCAGATGAATCCATCTTCCTTTACTTCCTGGAATTCCGGGTCTGTTTCCTGGAACATGTGACAGTACACATCATCTGAGAGGGAAAGAAATACCAAGATGGCACTGGTGAGGTAGCTTTCCCAGGATACATCTGTGAGACAAGGATTACCTCACAAGTGGCCCCTTTAACCAGGCCAGGGCTATGCCACCCGTGCCTCACTCAACCAGGCCAGAGCTACATCACCAGTGCCTCACTCAACCAGGCCAGGGCTATGTCACCAATGCCTCACAACCAGGCCAGGGCTACATCACCTGTGCCTCACTCAATCAAGCCAGGGCTACACTCAGCCAGGCCTGGGTACATCACCAGTGTCTCACTCAACCAGGCCAGGGCTAAGTCACCAATGCCTCACTCAACCAGGCCAGGGCTAGTCACCAATCTCTCACTCAACCAGGCCAGGGCTACGCCACCAGTGCCTCACTCAACCAGCCCAGGGCTACGTCACCAGTGCCTCACTCAGCAAGGCCAGGACTACATCACCAATGCCTCACTCAACCAGGCCAGGGATACGTCACCGGTGCCTCACTCAACCAGGCCAGGACTACATCACCAGTGCCTCACTCAATCAAGCAAGCCAAGGCTACGTCACCAGTGCCTCACTCAACCAGGCCGGGGCTATATTACCACTGCCTCACTCAACCCTGAAAGTGGTAAAGCAGCAATTGTAAGTAAAAGCAAAAACATGTTTGTTTAACAAGATTATTTCATGCCAGCATTCAGAGCTGAATGCTGATGTGATTTTTAGTCGAAGAGGGTAAGGGATCACTTTAAAGAAGAACTCCCCGCACTGCAAGAGTTTAAATGGAGTTCTTCTTTAAGTCTATTGATGCTAAACTCTGCAGAGCAGTAAAATACGAACAAGAGATTTTCGCACTACAACAGGACCTAAGCAAAACTGAGACCTGGGCTACAAGATGGCAAATGCGATTTAATGTTGAAAAATGTAAGGTGGGGGGGGCGGTGCTACATTAGGGAAGTCAGACATAGAAAAAGACCTGGGGGTCCTCATAGATCATAGATTTGGGGGTCCTCATAGATCACAGGTTTGGCAATAGTAAGCAATGCCAAGCAGCAGCCAGTAAAGCTAACAAGATACTGGCGTGCATTAAAAGAAGAATTGTAGCAAGGGATCAAAGAGTAATACTTCCACTTTCTAAATCATTGGTTCGGCCCCATCTTGAGTATGCGGTACAGTTCTGGTCGCCGACTCTCAGGAGGGATGTCCTGGAACTGGAGAAAGTTCAGAGAAGGGCTACAAATTTAAAGGGATAGAACGCCTGAGTTATGAAGACCTCATTCAAAATCTCACAGGGTTATTCACAAAAGGGTGAAGAGTTTGGAGAAGGGAACAATCTAGGACAACATCGCTGAACTGGAAAGTGAGCTGAATTGGAGAATTTTTCCAAATTAGCTATGTTGTCCTAGATTGTTCCCTTCTCTCCTCCCTTCTCCAAACTCTCACCCTTCTGTGAATAACCCTGTCAATGTTTTCACCTTAGAAAAGAGGAGATTAACAGGGGACCTTTTTGCAGTCTTCAAAATCTTCAATAGGGACCCCAATATTAGGAATAAACTGTTTAATCCCAAAACTGTATTGAGAACCCGGGGACACAACAAGAGGTTAAAAGAGAGGGGGTTCAAATTTAGAATTCGAAAGACGTATTTCAATGCGAGAGTGGTGAAAGTTTGGAACTCACTACCACAGGCGGTGGTATCTGCTAACATTGATACATTCAAGACACTTCTGGATGAGTTTCTTCTTTCGCCGAATCTACAGGGATATGGGAAGTGTTAGAGTAAGATAAATACACACACACACACACACACACACACACACACACACACACACACACATACATAGCTTGAACTGGATGGACCTTGGTCTTTATTTAGCATTACATACTATGTTATTGTTACTGGTTCTCTCTCCTACAACCGCAGGGTTTGTACACACAAAGGCTAGCTGTCCATCTTTCTTGACTACTCGGTCTCCATTTCCTCAGGGGGAATATGGAAGCCCCTGATGGAAAGCATGAGGGGACACCATGAGTCCCTCTCTCCTCATGGAAAGTAGCATGTGGTTATCATCAAAGTCTCCAAGCACTCAGATGAAAACTAAACCTTCCACTAAAACTTTGCAAAAGCATGAACCTTCATTTTCTTCAGTGCTCTTTTGAAATCCTTATTTCTCAGTGTATATATTATGGGGTTCAGGGTGGGGGTAATTACAGCATAAAACACAGGTACCAGCTTCTCTTCCTCCGATGAATTTTTTGATGTAGGATTCAAATAAGCAGAGAAAGAAGTTCCGAAGAACAATGTCACAACAACGAGATGTGATGTACAAGTGGAGAAGGCTTTTTGTTGTCCTTCTTTAGACCTTATCTTTAGGATGGTGGAAATGATGTTAATGTATGATATTAAAGTCAACAGGAAAGATCCAAATCCATAAGCACCACCAACGATGAAAAGGACAATCTCAGCATCCATAGTCTGACCACAAGCCACCTTCAGCAAGGGTGGGATGTCACAAAAGAACTGATTTATCCTGTTGGAGCAAAATGTAAGGTGAAAAGCACAAGTAGTATGGATCATAGAGTTGACAAACCCGCTGATCCAGGAGCTGCCAGCCAACATGGCACATTTACTTTTGTCCATCATAAACACATAATGTAGTGGATGGCAGACGGCTAAATATCGGTCATAAGCCATGACAGCTAGTAAGGTGCACTCGATACTACCCAGGGCTATGAAAAAATACACTTGGGCAGCGCAAGCCATGAAGGAGATGGAACTGGTCTTCAGAAGGAAATTAAGAAGCATCTTAGGAATGGTCACCGAGGTATAAAATATCTCAAGAAGAGACAGGTTGCAGAGGAAGAAATACATGGGAGTGAGGAGTTCAGAGCTGAAGGTAGTTGTGACGATGATAAGAACGTTTCCCAGGAGAGTCGACATGTAAAATATTGAAAATAAACAAAATAGAGCAGTCTGTACAGGGAAGAGGGCTGGAAATCCGAGGAGGATGAACTCTGTCACTGTACTGTCATTCGTCATCAAAATGCTGAAATAGAAAAACAAAATCAAGGAAAGTAAGACGTTCCCCCACATGTGACACCCCACCCTGCCTGGAGGCTCCCTTCCATTGTGTATTTTTTAACAACTTGAGGTCAGTCTATTCCTATCCATTCATGTAAAATGGGCAGTCGGTAAATGGTTAATATACTTACCTTTTTTTTAGTGTCTTTTGGCTGGTCACATGACACATCAGGTCCTCCCCTTGTTTGAAGGCTACTGTGGTGATACTACCTCAGGGGGGTAGAGCTATGATCCCCTGCATTCATAGTATGTCCTAAACCTTCCATGTTAAATGATGCCCAGTGTCATTTAACTAGGAAGACCGAGGCCATCTTGTGGTGAAAAAGTACTGCGAGGGGTGGCTTTGGCCCGCAAGTATTGCATCACAGCCTAAGCATTTTTTTTTTTATGTCGTACACTGCTTGGGGGTCCATGTAATTTAAAAAAATAATGGTAGTTGGGATTTATGTGTTGGGAGAGATTGAATATTACACATCATATGAAAAGGCTAAAAGGTAAAAACTTATTTTATTGCTTTATTTTTATTGTGGACTTCTACAAAAGCATTTTCTGGCAAAACTTGGGATCCTAAGACTTCCCAGGTTCTCACCGTAAGGCCTGTAACTACACCATTGCCTAGGAGTTGTGGATGGAAGCGGTGAAGTTAGCATATTTTACATTTTTCTCCTAATGTGCGATTTGTTTTTTTATTGCCAATACTGATTTTCTCCATGGAGGGGAGGGGGGGTCCTAAAAGTTAGGTGGATCTTGAATTGGATGCAACGTCCACTTTAAAAATATATTGCAGGCTACAAACCATTGTAGCCATTCACTGATCACTGAAATTTACATATAGCAAATATACATTTAGCAAATAGGTCAGAGCCTTCCATTGGATAATAGGTCTTGGTTCAGCAACGTTATAAGCCCAAACAAGGTCAGTTGCCTACCTGCATATACTTAACAACCAGGTTTTTTACATCAATAGATTTTTTTCCTTCCCTGATGGCACGTTGGGCATATTCCAAGATGACAATGCCGGGACTCATCGGGCTCAGATTGTGAAAGAGTGGTTCAGGGAGCATGAGACTTCATTGTCACACATGGATTGCCCACCACAGAGTCCAGACCCTAACCCCATTGAGAATCTTTGGGATGTTCTGGAGAAGACTTTACGCAGTGCTCCGACTCTCCCATCATCACTACAAGATCTTGGTGAAAAATGAGTACAACTCTGGAAGGAAATAAATGTCGTGACATTACATAAGCTTATCAAAATGACGCCACGGCGTGTGCCGAAATCAAAGCTAAAGACGGTTCAACAAAATATTAGCATGTGTGACTTTTTTTTGGGCCCGATAGTGTGTATTCTTTATTTATAACAATAGCAGACGTAAGGTCACATGACAATTAAGAATAAATCACGTATCTGCCTGACAGAACATCGTACAACATTGGGCCTTATTTCAGGATAACAAAGGCTGTCCAATTGACAACCTAAAAAGCCTTCACAAAAAGAATAACTCACCACTGGCACATTAGAGGATCACCTTCTTCTCTACATAAATGTGCTTCAGTACAGGAATTAAAACGGATCTCCATATAAAAATATGCTTCCCCTTCTCCCCATAGACCCTTATATATCCCTTAAATTGAGCTCTTCTGGCCAGTCACGTGATGTGCTGGGGTCCTTGTTCTCTTCACTCTTTGTTGGAGGTGGGTGCTCTTCCATACCCCAAAAAAAGGCGCTGATGTTACTACATTAGTACCACTCTCTGCAGAATTGTACTGTGAGCCCAGGCCAATGTGTCTTTGGCAGCCTGGGCTCACAAGATGTCGGTTAAAAGACACTGGCCATCATTCAATCTAAAAGATAACTGGTAGCTCAACAACCTGCTGTGTGGTGGAGGTCAGAATGGCATGGAAAATAAAAATACATTTTAATATAACAAAATGGAGAAAATGGCTGAGCGGTCTGGCAATGTTGTGTTAGTCTCAGGACTGGCCAGGCAGAATGACAACTCCTTTGGCATGTAAAAGTTACCATATACTGTATGTAGGTATTCAAAACTAATCGATAATGAGAATAGTTGGCAACGATTCTCATCATTGATTAGAGAGAGGGCTTTTTTTTTTTAACAACCAATCGATTAATTGAAAAAATAAATCGGGCAACTAAACGATTAGTGGAGCAGCCCAGGTTTAACCATTAGGTTTAAACGACTTGGGTGCCATTGATCCTGGAAGAGGATGGTCACCGGAGGAGAATGAGGACAGTGCTGGGAGCACGGAGAGGGTGAGCAATGCTGTACATACTTATGTTTTTATAAACGATGGGGAAAAATTCTAAAGAGTTAAAAAAGGAGATTGGCTTTAAAGTGAACCAAGAATTCAAAATATTTTTCATGTTAAACTGACACTAAACTCAGGAGTTAAATCTCAAAAATACATTCAGGTACCTTAACTATTAACAACAATGTATCTTATTTGTGTATCACACATGTGTTTTCATAATCGTTTAGTTGCCTGATTATTTTTAACAACCAATCGATTCATTGAAAAAATAATCGGGCAACTAATCGATTATGAAAATAATCATTAGCTGCAGCCCTAACTGTATGCATTTTAATGTATTGACCTGCTTTGAGTTCAGCTTTAAAATTGCTTTGGTTTATGTTTATGTGCATCACTGGTATTGTTCATATTACACGAGTACAAAATAATGTATTCTATGTGTAATAATTCACATATATTGTTAGTTACATTGTACAACAATATGGTAATATAAAGTACTGCATTCAAAAAATTATGCTGCTACAAATTTACCAGAGAACCAACAACATGATAGCTAGTGTACCAAAAAAAATCAGAAAAATAATTGATTAAAAAATGTAAGCTGCAAAAGGCAAATATAGAAGTTCTAAAATTAAAACAAAATAAAACATGCAAAAAAAATGTAAGACTTAGTGAGAAGTACTGACGCCTTAAGAAGCATTAAATGAAATTCCCCAAAATGTTTACAGAATACATTGGAGTTAATAGGGAAGGGAAAATTAAGGTGTTCATTTATACGAGTGTAATAGACTTTCAATAGCTCTTGAGGGTTATGGAAGCTCCTTTTATCTATCCTGGCCTGGTTCTAGTGCCAGTACACAAAAAAAGGGCAAAACCCCCTCACAAAGTTTAATAAATATGATAAAATGACCCAAAATACATTATCTAAAAAAAAAAAATCTAAATAAAGAAAAATAGTAATTACTATTTTTGTAAGCAAATTTCCGCTCGATTCAACTCGGAAAGTTTAATATTTCGTAAATATTGGTAATTTTGCATGAAAAATCAAAAGAAATTGTTATTTGTTATTAGGGCTGTTACTGATTAAAATTTTCGTGTTCGATTAATCAAAATTTTTTTTAATCGATTCATTTTGATTAATTATAACGCACATACAGATCCAACTACATTGGCCTATACACATACAGCACAGCAATGAAGTAATAAAATGAACTAGGATCACACTAATCCAGCACGTTATTAATCTCACGTGCCCCACTCAATATGGCCGCCGCTTGAGTGGGGCAACTCAGAATAATAACGTGCTGGATTAGTGTGATCCTAGTTCATTTTATTACTTCATTGCTGTGCTGTATTTGTATAGGCCAATGCCTTGGCTGGCGCTCGTGCAGAAAGTTTCAAAAAAAATGTTAAATCGATCAAAAAGATTAACGAGTAATCGAGAAATTAATCGTTAATTTGCACAGCCCTAATCTTCATGGTTGAATTCTTCTGGCATGACTCTTGTATTTCTGTGATATTTATACACTTCCAGAGGCCCCTGGGATGGCAGCAGTTACAATTATAAAAGATTTGTATTCTTCTGGGACATTGCAGATATTGAAGAATTAAGAATTGTTAAAACAAACTGAAAAAAAAAAAATAGGAGGCCTTTAATTATTTTTTAACTATGTTATAGAACTGATATTTTGCCGTTGTTCTTGAGGCTGTATGAAGTCTATTTAGTTGTTTATAAATGGCGGCAAACCTTGGTCAAACCTTTTTTCCCCCCCAGGTGGTCACAGGATAAGCAAAGCCCTCTTCTCCACTGGTTGGTGGTACTGCTGCACAGGATGGCACTCAGGTAGTGCGTGGAGCAGCCCAGGTTTAACCATTAGGTTAAATGACTTGGGTGCCATTGATCCTGGAAGAGGATGGTCACTAGAGGAGAATGAGGGTGAGCAATGCTGTACATACTTATGTTTTTTTAAACGATGGGGAAAAATTCTAAAGAGTTAAAAAAGGAGATTGGCTTTAAAGTGAACCAAGAATTCAAAATATTTTTTCATGTTAAACTGACACTAAATTCAGGAGTTAAATCTCAAAAATACATTCAGGTACCTTAACAACAATGTATCTTATTTGTGTATCACTCGGCTGTAGATCCTCCAATCATCTCTGAATTGGTGCTGACACTGTCCTTCCTTCTGGAGGGGGGATACTTTGAGGGACTACAATCTCAATAAGAAATGAGTAAACCAAACATGAGATTGTAGTCCATCCTGGGAGCGAGCTTGGAGCGGTGACTACTTTACAAGACACACAGGGAGAGAACCAAGGAGAGGGCTATGTGTAATGGAAGTCTCCGAGGACTCAAGCAGAGGACAACATTCCAGACTGTCCCTGCCAGGCCATCGAGTGGGTACACTGTAGGCAGCCCTGGAGCTGCAAGAGGAATGTGATCTGGAGGGCGTTACAGTGGTACTGGTACCAGAGCATCTAAGATCTAACATATTGCACTGCAAGGCAGTGACGACGTAGCTTAGGATACAATACCAAGCTTTGAGTATTTATAAACTGGCTGTTAGTAGTCAGAGAGGTTCAGACAGCCAGTGGTGACCAAGTCACTGTAGGTGGACAGCAAAGACCAACCTAGTAAGATCAATAGGATGGCGATACCTCACGCTGAATGGTGGGAAGAAGAGTGTGCAGCATGCGTGACACTCCCTAAACTAAGTGCATGATCGCTCAGTCTTTCAGCATTATCCCTTTCTGCAATACAATGAAAGATCTGGATACAAATGTAGACCAATTATTCTAATAGCGAGCTAGCTGCTGGTGCTCAGTCCACATGGCCTTCTCAAAAAGTGAGTCCTCAGAGACCGTGCCACGGCTCTGGACACAGAAAGCGCTCTGTGGCTAAGACAGTACCCAGGTCTGGAAAGTGCAGGGGGTCCAGTCCCAAAGGTCACATTCCAGGCTAACCTGCCAATCCTCCAGTCCAGTGGGGTCTGACTGAGTAAAGTAGAGAAATTACATCCATCGTCCAAGGACACCAAGGGGAAAAAAAGGGGGCAAACTGGGAGTAGGAAGGATAGTATGCTGGTCTGTTTTGTTGTTTGCCAATGTTCAAATCCTGCTGTGGGTGTCAGTATAACCAATTGCCTGTGAATACAGTTTCCCTCAATGAATAAGAGCCATTTTGCACAGTGGCATCACAAGGGGGGTGCAGCATGGGTGACACCATTGGAGGGGTGACACCAAAATGACTGACAGTCATTTTGGTGTCACCCCCTGTAAAAAGTCATGGCCGAGAGCCCCACAGTGTCAAGAGAGGACCTGGCGGCATACCTCATCCCGCCGGGTGAACGTCCCCGCCTCTCTCTGCCGACGTCCATCACTAAGATGGCCGCTGGCAGTTGTCAATTAGATGACCCAGCATGCACGATTACATCACAGTGGGGTGTCACCTGGTGTCCGCTCCGGGTAACACCCGGCCTCGGGACGCCGCTTATTTTACAGAGATATAGAAAAAACAAAACAGAATTCCCTTCAAGGGTTGGACCCCATTCATGAAGAAATATAAAAAGACAACAACGCTTATAAAGTAAGAAAACAGAGTTTATTGGAAGATATTACAGCATTTCTGACAACCATAAAGAATCACATACACAGACTCAACTTCTATCGAGCACCCATTCTAAACGGAAGGATTATTATAGTAACAGCTAACAATCTCCTTCTAGAAGTACCGTAAGTTATAATCGTTTTCAGACACACGAGGAACAGGTAACAAGAGGGAAATGTTCTGAAGAAAAGGTTGTGATACGCACACAACACTGATAGAGACAAATACAAAAACAATTCTTGCTGCTGAACAAAGGAAAAAAATTACAATAACAGTAAAATCTTTGCATATGTTATATTTTGGTTTTCCTTTTCCTTTTTAATGAGTAGACAAAGCAACAACTGAATTAAAGTGAACCTGTTACTGGTACTTAGTGTGAAACTTGTATTCGGCCAATTGACCTAGCAGGAAGTTGTGACATGAGGTGCTCTGTATCTTATAACAGATGTCACAAAGTCCTGGTGAATGCACGGGCTGTATTCTCTAAATGATTTCCAGCCTACAATGTAGTCACATGCTCTGTGTACTCTGTCAGCTTCTAACAAACATGCACTTGTAAGGTCTCTGCAATAGAAAAGGTTGTACCCTTGTCTGTCTGGTGGCCCTGGTCTCCTACCTTACTCTGTCCCAAGTTGCGGCCTATGTCAGCATATTCCAGTGTCTGTGTCCTTTAAAAAGTTTAAATTGTAATTTTCCACCAAGCTGTTGTCGTTGGTTCTATTCTCTAAACCCTATGTCACTGCTGAGTGCTGTAGTGGAATAGGGGCCAGAGGATGGAACCAAGGCATACGACAGACGCACATGCATTCAACAATACCAGAAGTGTTGAATGCTGGAGAGACCAGAGGAGGCTTCAGGCTGGAGAAGAGGTAGGAACCAAGCTGCTAGAGAGGTGAGCGCCATACTTCTCCTGCAGGGACCTTCTGACTGCTTTTTTCTTGGAATCTGACAGGGCCACTTTAAATAAAACATAACGTGAAAAACAACTGCCGGAATAAAATCCGAGGCTCTATTCACTAATGGGGATATTACCAAATTCTGCTTTTCCAACACAAAGTAGTTGAGGTGAGGTTTTGTGTTTTCGCCTTTGAGGCTACAATCATCCTGAAATATATCATAGTTTAAATTGTAATTTTCCACCAAGATTTTCATCCCAACATTTAAAGGAAGATTATTTTTGGTTGTTCATAGTGATTTATAAAACATTTGACTTGCCACTGCTGAAAAAGGAGTCATTTAACAGAACCCAGACGGTCACGGTTTGTACAGTAGAGCCCTGGACCTAAAAACAACAAAATATTTTAAGTAACACAAAACATTCCCTCAACTGTACAGTAATGACACAACGTATTTCTGAATTCAGATAGGAAGCACTGTATATGTATTTACCAAATAATACATGTGACTGCTTCTTGCCCAGAATATCACAGAACACATTGGGGTTTAGTAACTACAGTACATGATGATTCCAATACTCAGTTTCCCTATTCCAAAGAGATTTTAATTTTTGCCAGGGATTTCCCCTCACTGTGACTCGGGCATACATTGACAGACATGTAAAATTGACGGTTACACATGACAATTAGTGTTCTCTCAGGTAGATTTGGCATACAACAAAATGACAGCTATAACAAAAACTATGAACATTGCTGTAGACGGCGGCTTCTGAGAAGTTACTGCGAGTGTAAAGAAATTCAACAAAAAGGGACTCCAACCAACAGATGCAAGGTGCATTTCAGTGTACAACTGCAAGTATACATGCTTCAAATTTCGGCCGGTCCTTGATGAAATTTGAAGCGTGGGTGCCACTGTCAGCACCTTTCCGACCGGTATTCCTCAATCCACGGAGCCAGTCAGAAAATTGTTGGCCGAACAGAGCGAGCAGCCAATAACAATACAATGTAAAATGTAGACAGTGGGAGAGCCCTCGATCAACGCTCGTAAGGAGCATTAAAAGGATAAGTTCACCCTTTGCAAAAATTAAGGAAATGAATAATTAATTAAAAAAAATAAAAATGCATTTCTTTAATATTTGTATTTAAGTCTGGAAAGAATTACAATTGTGATCACTCGATCACAGCTGCGAAGCTCAGACTTCAGCACATTCTCTCCCAGGCAGAGCTCCGTACTGATGTACGGGGTTTCAGTTAGGACAGATGGGGGGACGGACGGCTGGACTTCAAACTGCATTAAATCACCTCATACACAGTCCAGCCGTCCTCCCTTTGGTTAGATGCAGGAATATGGGCAGCTAAACCTACAGATCGGGCGATCGTACGATTTTCGCAAGGTTGGTGGCATTTCCGTACGTCAAAATTCGTACGATTTATACTGCACATGCGCAGACGAAAATACGTGCGGTCGATTACCGCAATCCGTCTAGGTGCTTTCTTCTAATTACCGCTGATCCAACCTTGCGGTAAATCGGGGAAGGATGGGGCCGCCGTACGAAAATCATCTGATGGTTCTATCATCGGTTCGAAAAGTTTCATCCGATGATCGCAAGGTGTATGGGCAGCTTTAGAATGTGCAGAAGCCTGAGCTCTGCAGCCCTGATCAAGTGATCACAATGGCTTAAAATGCAAATATGAAAGGAAATGCATATTTTATATATTATTATGCATTCCTTTCATTTCTGCAAAAGGTGAACTTATCTGTAATAGTAGAATATGTTCCATTTTCTGTGTTCAACTAGCAGGTTGAACGTAGAAAATAGAAACATGTATACCCAACTGAAGTCTTACTTTGAGCAACAGCTTCACGTTGTGGTAAAACGGCAAAGAGATAAAAAGGGGGTTTGGTCAGTTAGGCCACAGAAAGAGTTGTCAAAAGATGGTTTGCATCTGTTTTAAGAAGCAACTTTAAAAAGAACCAAAAAAGAATCTGCAAATGGGTGAACTAAAATTTCTCAAGCTGGCTTTAATTTCCGTTGTGAAAACAGTCAAAATGTCCTGAAGTTACAGTAGCTCTGTTGCCGTAAAGACAGTTAGACTCGGATCTTTTCCCAGAAGACCAATGGATAATTCTTTCAGACCTGAATAAAAGTGCACCCAATCAAACCTGACCAGTTATGTTCACCTGGCCCTTAGGTCAATGCAAAAAATCGACAGAGCCATGGCCAACAAGACCATCATTGCCTTAATTACAGATGGCACAAAAAAGGCGACCACACCATGGTAAATCTACACCCACCGAAAGGGTACAAGTGACTAAAACTACCCACACTCAGAAGGTAATGGTCTTTAAAAAAATGTGCAACTTTAAATGCATTGTTTGTTTTTCTAATAACAAAGTAGTCCTCACACAGGCGGACACTGCCAAAACATTGATCTGTGAAACTACTTTTCTTTATCCATCTGCATGTTGCCTATGGCAATCCAATTCTCATACAAATGAATATCCAAGCTCAAATTCTTGCCAGCAACTGAAATCCCAAGCAGTGTGACACCACTTGGGATTTCGGTTGCTAGCAGGAAGTTAGGAGCGGAGCGCATTTTTGGAAGGGGGATTAAAATTGGGAGAAATGTGCAAGTTTTGCAGACATGTACTGAATATGGTTTTCTCCCCCTCCCCCCCAGACATACACATAGGGGCTCATGTACAAACCTTCTTTCTGCCCAGTGTAAAGCTGGGTGAATGCCGTTCCTATGGAA